ACTTAAGGGCTCAGAAAACAAGAAGAAAACAATGCCTAGAACAGCAATCTATGAAACTTGGCATTTAAAGGAGAGTCCAACAGGAAGAATAATTAAAAATAGCCTTTTTCATTGTAAGAATACCAGGGACTAGAAACGTGAAATGCAACACACCTGGTTCCTCCCCCGCCGCTTGCCGTAGTTCCGTCGCACCAGGGCCTTGTAGTTTTCGTTTTTCTTGGTCAAGTAATAATACAAGACACAGTCTGGAACATTCTGAAAAGGCAAATGGCGTGACTGTTTTTAAAACATAAAAACTTCTTAAAGCAGACATAAGGCGAGACTCTTTTTGAACATCCTACACAGCAACCATGATACGGAATAATGGACCAAAAGACAGGACAGCCGTTTCCAATTGGATGTTAGGAAAAATTTCCTAGCCCTAAGAGCAGTTGGAATCACTGGCCCAGATAAGTGGTTGGCTCCCTTTTGCTGGATGTGTTCAAGCAGAAGCTGGATACATGTCTTTTGGGGATGTTTTAGAGCAGTGTTTATCAACCTTATCAACTTTAAGATGTGTGGACTTCAACTCCCAGAATTACCCAGCCAGCCATGCTGGCTGGGGAATTCTGGGGGTTGAAGTCCACACGTCTTAAAGTTCCCAAGCTTGAGAAACACTGTTTTAGAAAGCTGGAAGATAGCCCTGCAACCAGAAATATGAATACTGAGTATCTAGGAAAGGACCTTCTCTGTACCTGTGGCTCCTGAAGGAAAATTTCACTGGGCTTTCATTCTTCCAGTATTCAGGAAGATGGCATCTCTTCTGCCAAACTTCTGAATCTTAAGTATTGTAACAACTTGTTTTAATTTTGCTTTTAATTTCAATTGTGTTGATTCTATTGTTAAGTTTCATACCCTGTATTTGTTTTCAATTGCTGTAGGCCACCTTTGAGTGTTATTGTATGTAGATAAGGAGGGTATACATTCAATAATAAATACAAATAATAAATAATTCTTAATTGGGATATCTGTCCTGAACTGAGCCTGGACTTGATGGCCCTTTCTGCCTCTAGGAAACCAGCAGCACGTGCCCATCGCTATCCCACAATCTTTGTGTTAGGGAGACAACATAGCACAGTAACAAAACACCCAAAGAGAAAATCCTGTGTGGTACTGTCATGCAAAGTAAAAAGGGACAAAACGCCTCTTCTGTTAAACTATGTTAGGAAATCATCCAACTTAAAATAAGAGAGGCCTGAGATGTTATCACTTCAGCACAACAGCTATCTCAGCCCAAATGCATCGGCTCTGCCTTCCCAGCAGAAGAAGAAAGCCCTGAAAAAACACACTCATTTATACAGAGTCCCCGGGTTAAGAACGCCTGGTTTAAGGACGATCCATAATTAAGAATGGGGCCTACTGTAGCAAAATTTGAGTCAAATACACAATGGTTTGAGTTCATTACACAGTATTACTTATACAGTATTATACAATAATACCGTTCCAGCTTACGTACGAATTCGACTTAAGGACAGACCTTGGGGACGGAACTCGTTCTTAGACTGGGGACTCCCTGTATTTGAAATGTCCACATCCCCTTCGAATCCCCTCCCTTCCCACTTAGCTCTTGGTGCCAAAATTGGGTTCCCCTGCTGTGGCTTGATGGGCAAAGGAAAGCTTGCCTATCAGGCTAAACCATGAGGTCTTTTAATCCTGGTTTGATGAGCAAGCCCCAGAGGACTAAGTAACACACCCTGCAAAGCCATTAGTCATGGTTTACAAAGCTGAATGGCTGGTTTCAGGTATAGTTCAAAGCCCCAAGCGAAGCACCCACATTACAGCGGCCTGTGAACTCGGCTGCTGGGCTGCCCTTCTGCTCGCCGCTCTAGGGTCAGCCAGGAGACCCTTCCGTGGTAGAAATCCAAGGAAAGCCAACAGAAGAACACTGTCACTTTCTGCAGCTTAGGATCTAATTGTCTACCATGCACACAAAGCACCATCTTACCTTTCTTTCTAAATAGGAAGCAATGAGGCCGAAGTTCTTAGGATGCTGGACAAACCTGGAGAAAGACACAGAAAACAGCCAGGCTAAACCACCTGCCTGATTGACAGACAAGCCTTCATCCTCTCCCTCAATTACCAGGCCTGGCTTGGCTCTACGCTACCTCTGCAACCTGCATAAGCCCAGTGAAAGCATGAAAAGGAGGTACACAAAATATTCAAAGCCACACCCTGGATTTCCCCTGGCATGAGCCAGGTCGTCTCCTGTAGATCTTTGTGCCCATTTAACCTAGAAACCAACAGCCTGGGTTCCTTTTTTTTTTAAAGCACAGAGGAGCATTTCAAGAGATAATGAAATGCGGTCCCAGAATTCTCCTTTGCAGGGAGGAAGATCACCTCTGCCTTGGACAGAAGCAGCCTAGAAAAGCAGAAGGTGCCCTACTTCACAAGAAGGGACCTGAAGGGACCTTTGGATGATCAGAGGGCTTCCTGAATGTGACACTCAGATTTTAAGTCAGGCTTAAAGCTTGCAAACTCAGCTGCCAGCTTGACATGCAAGCAGACTATCTTTGGGCCATGGAGGTCCCACTTGGGGAGATCCTCATCTCTTTTCCAATCTTCACCATGGGCCTTGACCAAGCCATGCTAGCTATCCCTCCTCCAACTGATTATTCTCCCCCTTGACTTCCTGCAGCTCTCTGGGGTTCAGGCAGGAAAACTGCTGTCCCTAAAGATGTCAGGGTTCAACCTGGGGCTTTCCACATGCAGGACATGTGTTCTCCAAACGCCCTTACGTGAGAACCTACCTTATCCTGAGTTAGACCACTAGCTCTCCTAGGCAGGGGCTCTCAAGGACTCATAAGGAGATGGGTCTTTCCCATCACCTGCGCTCGGACCCTTTAATTTTTTTAAAAAAGAAAACACTTGAAAATCCGCACGCACAGCAGATGCTCTACCCGGGAGCACAAAGGTTGTGCAAGACTCAAGTTGTGCAACAGCTACTTCTCTCCAGAAAAGCAAATAAGAGAAAAAAATTACTTTTCTTTAAAGATCTCCTTCTCATGATCGGTCCAGACATTCATGAACTGCCGATCCTTGTACACTTTCATGGGATCCTCCATCAGCCCGTTCATGTTGATAAACTTCACGCGCCTCTGTTCTGCATCAAACATCATGGGAGGAATGACCGAGAGCTGGCGCATTTGTTTCTCATTATTCTAGAAGTGCAAGGGCAAAGGGGGGGAGAAGGGAGGAAAGACACACGTGGGCTGTTAGTGCATCATTTCTGTCTCTGCTGAACGGCCCTACGTCTGCCAACACATTGGAAGGAGTGGTGCTCCTGGCTGACCAGCCAAGGAGCTCCCCAAAGCTGGGATCTTGTGGGGAAGAGCATCGTTCCTTCCCCAGGTCCCCACGCCACTTTTGCAGCCGTAGGGCAGCAGCTGCCTTCCACGAAAAGCCCCACTCTGCTGCAAGAATGAGGAGGACTTTGTCAAGTCTTTAAACATTCACATTTGGTCAAGAAGACATGCTGTGCTAAACAGGCATGGGATCAGTTGGCGAAACCACAAACAAACTCAAGACTCTGGAGACTGATGTAGGAAACTAGACTTTCAAGATGCAATTGCGCACACACACACACAGGCTCATTAAGCCACAAGGTTTAAGGGGTCAACCTCAGCCAATCCACCTCCTTGCCCTCAGCTGAAATTACCTCCAGGGATTGTCTTGAAGGCAAATGCTTGCCCCCGACATTCTACCTTGTCTTCCCTGGAGGACTGATGCAGGTCAAAAGGGGTGGAAGGATTTAAAAAAGGGAAAGAGAGAGAGAGTTAAAAGAGGAAAGATGCCCACACCATCAAAATCATCTGCTGTGAGGGCAGGCCTCACATTGGGATGATGGGGGGGGAGGGAAGGTCCTCTGAGCACACGCAGAGTGCTTCTGTGTCACTGATAAAAAAACATGCCACAATGAGGAGGAGGAGGAGGAGGAGGAGGAGAAATAATAATGGGTGGAAGATACACCCAAATTGACTGCTAAGTGTCCTATTGGGGGGAAGGATGAAGAGGAAGAGGAGGAGGAGATGGATAAGGAAAAGGAGAAATAGAAATAATAATGTGTGGAAGATATGCACAAATTGACTGTTAACAGCCTACTGGGGGAAGGAGGAAAAGGAGGAAGAAGAAGAGGAAGAGGAGGAGGAGGAGGGGGAGAGGGAG